CCGCCGCCCCCCCCCCCTTTCCTGTGCTCAGATCAAGGTTCTGGAATTTTTATGACTTTAAGGGGGGAACCCCACACACTTTGTTTTTTTTTTACATGAGTCCCCTCCTGAAATTCCTATCAGACCTTAAGGGTCTGGTAGAACTTTTGGGGGGAACCCCACGCTTTTTTTCCCTTTTTTTTAATGGCGTCCCTCCTAAAATTCCTACCAGACCTAAAGGGTCTGGTATTGTTTGGGAGGGGAACCGCACGCTTTATTTTTTTAAATGTCATTTTTTTCTTTAAAAATGTAATTTTTGCTGCAGCAGGTTCTATACATCGTACAGATGCGCCACTTTACAGGCAGGTTAAGGGGACCCCCAGGCATGATATTTAAAGGAATTCTTCACATTTATTGTTTTACTTTAAGTGATGTTGTCATAGACTTACCCAGCCCGGACCCCCGTGCCCACGGCGCACCGTCTCATCCGTGACGTCACCCTGGACTCCTCCCACTGGCCGCGGCGCCTCCTCAAAAACACAGGTGAGTCACTCACTCGGCGTTCTATCGTTGTGGAACGTCGAGCGAGGACTCTGTGAACTAACCAGCGTTAGCAAGCTCTAGCATTAGAGATTGGGGGAGACTGCCTTACAGGGACCCAGCAACAGACCCGTCAACAGCGGCTGCCTCTGTACATCCATAAATACCGGGCTAATCCTTCTCAGTGTCCAGACACCAGAACCGCAAGTACTAGGGGATCTACCCCAGACAGTTGCTACTTCCAACCTTATATCTGCCATTGCTAAATGAAAGCACTGTGTCTACTAGTATAACTGAACTACTGCATTGTTGGGAACTGTGGAAGGAACTTACTCAATAGCATAAGTATGTGCCTGCTGTATACAACTGCAATATATATATTACCGGACAACCCGCTAATTATCCTAGTGAATAACACCTAGCTGCCTGCTCACATCAGTTTACTGCCTTACTGAGGGGGTGGGAATTATATTGAGCACACAAGCCTCTGTTGTTGTGAAACCTTCTGGGGAACTACAGTCCCATCACTCCTCCACTCTCCGCATAATACTCTTAGTATCCACACACTTGCCTTAGGTCCGGTTGCCTCATTGGCAAGGAGCCACGTTACCACACATAGGCCGGGGTACATGATGTATAACGGTCCCCCATCGCACTGAGTGTACTGGGGATCCGCCAAACTGAGCCAACCACTCCTTTGAGAGCCTCAGTTCCGTAGCTGAGATGCAGGAATAATTTCTGCTTGCACGATTGTGACAGATGTTAAAAGTCACTGCTCCTTTAAAAATGGTATTTAAAAAAAAATGTTTTTATCATTGATACATGTCCCTCAGGGCAGTACCCGAATCCCCATACACCTTTTATGGCCAATAACTTGCATATAAGGCTTCAAAATGGGGTCAATTGATTTTCAAAGTTCTTCCCCCATAGACTTACATTAAGTTTGAGTTCGAATTTGAACTTTTTCCATGTTCTAAAGTTCAAATTCGAACCGAACACGGGGGTGTTTGGCTCATCACTACTGATGTGAATGTGTACCGGTAGTATGTAAAGCGCTGCGTAAATTATCGGCGCTATATACTGTAAATACCTGTAAACTCTTCAGCTGGTAGCCGCATCTCTTGATGGTCCTGTATCTCTGGATGATGTTAAGTGTTGCAACTTGGAGCATTTTGGATGTTTCCTGACTTGCATTTACGGTGTATGTCTCCACATTGTACATATGAGTAGTTTTCTTACTCTGGATTGAATTTTATTTATCCATAATAAATGTTAATGCACGAGGAGAAGGCTCTGTCTCCCTTTGTGTTTTTCCTTACTGGATATCCCTGTGGAAGATGGGTACTGCAATGACCACGGATGGCCCAGGTGGATCAGAGCATGAACATAATGTTAGCAGCACATGTAGTAAAGTGTCTAAAGGAAAATCTTTTTTATTGGCGCATATTGTCACTTGTAAAGCGCAACGTTTCTGACCATCGTCATTTTAAGCCTGATGAAGAGGATCCTGTGTGGTGCTGAAACATTGCGCTTTACAAGTGACAATATGCGCCAATAAAAAAGACGTTCCTTGGGACACTTTACTATGGTGTGCTGGTGACATTATGTACATGTTATACAATGAGACATGTGAACGCCTTCTGTTTCAAGAAGGTTTTACTGCGCTAAGCTGAGTAATTCTGTTTATTTTTAACTTCCCAATAAAGAAAAACACAACTTCACAGCACAATGAATATATTGAGCTTGGCTTCAAGGTATCGACGAGAAAGTGATATACAACTTTACACTGCATGATAAATCCAGGCAGAAAAATATTCTTGTTTCAAGTATGACTACAATTCCTTTTCATCAGGGACTAATGATTCTGCGCTGAGCACTGGGAGCTTTTTCAGGACAACGGCAAGAAATGTGGCTGATGCATAATCACAACCTGCAATCCGATAATGACTTCAAATACTTTACTTGCTGGAAAGCCGCTGCTTACCGAGGAAAGAAACGGCACAGTGAAACTACTTAAGAAGTAATCAGTATGTGCGATTGGCTTTCAGAGGAAACTACGGCTGTCAGATTACCTAAGACTTGTATTATGAATTGGGAGGGCAACAAAGAAGACATCTAATAGACACTTATTGGGGAATGCCGATCATTTCACAGCACAGGTTTCTGTTGCATGTGATTTCTGTTTTACACTTCTCTTGGTTAAGTTCTCACTTAAAAAAAGTTTCCCTATTAGTATACTTTAAATGCACTCTGTTTTTAACAATATGTTTGAAGCTGAACTCCAAGCAAACAGCAAAACACATAGAGGGTTAATCACAAAGTTGCCGAAGGCAGCCTCTAGTAAATAAGCCCCCCGGAGTGAAGGGAGCCGAACGCTGTTCGGCTATTCACTTCAGGCTTGTACAGCTGATTTCAGCAATACATCGGCTTGCTTCCGTTCAGCCGAACAGTGAAGAACACGTTCGACTCAGCCGATCCAACATCTGGCTACTCGCTGCCAGGCTACTCGCTGCCAGGCTACTCGCTGCCGTTCGGCCTAGTCTTATAGGGGCCAACAGCAGTGAGTAATTAGCCGAATGCTGCCGAGCGGCATCCAGGTTGGCTAGTCAAAAATCAGTGAAAAAAAAAAAAGTAGAAAAATCTAAATAAATGATAAAAATTTCTTTAAAAAATAATTTGGGTGGAGCTAGTAGTGACAGCTAGCT